AAAAAAAAAAAAAAAAAAAAAAACCTCACTTCCTCCTTGCAACTACCCTAGAATACTTACTATTATCAAGATGAGGAAACTGAGGCATACAAATCTTAAGTAATTTGCTCTATGTCACAGCTAGAAAAGGGCAGAGGCACAATTTAAATCCAGATACTACTATAGACCTTGTTCTTTTCTTTTTTTGAAGACAGGACATGCTCTGTTGCCCAGGTTACAGTGCAGTGGTGTCATCATAGTTCATTATAGCCTTGAACTCCTGGGCTGGGCTCAAGCAATCCTCAGCCTCCTGAGTCTGAGTAGCTGAGACTACAGGCATGCACAACTATATCTGAGTGATATTTAAATTTTTTGTAACGGCTCGGCGCCTATAGGTCAGCCGGCTGGGGCGCCAGCCACGTACACCTGAGGTGGCGGGTTCGGGTCCCCAGCCTGGACCCGCCAAGCAACAGTGACGGCTGCAACCAAAAGATGGCCAGGCGTTGTGGCGGGCGCCTGTGGTCCCAGCTGCTTGGGAGGCAGAGGCAGGAGACTCGTTTGAGCCCAGGGGTTGGAGGTTGCTGTGAGCTGTAATGCCATGGCACCCTACCCAGGGGGACAGCTTGAGGCTCTGTCTCAAAAAAAAAAAAAAAAATTTTTGTAACGATAGTATCTTACTATGTTGTCCAGGCTGGTCTTAAACTCCTGGCCTCAATCAATCTTCCTGGTGGCCTCCCAAAGTACTGAGATTACATGCTTGAGTCACTATGCCTGGCCTAATTCTTAAAGCCCTCTTTCAGTTAAAAGACAAATTTCCAAACAATAAAATGGAAGAGTAATAAACACTTTGAATTATTATTATTATTTTTTTTTTGTGAGACACAAAAAAGTCTTACTTTTATTGCCCTCGGTAGAGTGCTATGGTGTCACAGCTCACAGCAACCTCAAACTCTTGGGCTCAAGCGGTTCTCTTGCCTCAGCCTCCTGAGTAGCTAGGACTATAGGCACCTGCCACAATGCCTGGCTATTTTTAGAGACAGAGTCTTGCTCTTGCTCTTGCTGATCTCAAACCCATGAGCTCAGGCAATCCACCTACCTAGGCTTCCTATAGGTCTAGGATTACAGGTGTGAGCCACCATGCTCTGCCCACTTTGAATAATTTGTTCTTGATGGTCTAGTAGCATAGCTAGAAATTCTGATTCTTCCCAGCAAGTTTCTAGGCAAGGATACTAATCACACAGAACAGTGAAATCAGAGAACCTCACCACCATCTCATAAGCCTCCAGGGTACATGGGACATACAAAGTATAGGTAAGAAGGAAGGCAATGGACCCCAGCTATCTCCCTGCCCACAAAGCCTGTTTCCATTATGTTTAGACCTTAAAAAGTACCAGTGTAGGGCAGTGCCTATGGTTTAGTTGGTAGGGTGCTGGCCCCATATACCGAGGGTGGCAGGTTTGAAATCAACCCTGGCCAGCTAAAACAGCAATGAGAATTGCAACAAAAAATATCCGGGCACTGTGGCTGGAGCCTGTAGTTCCAGCTACTTGGGAGGCTGAGGCAAGAGAACTGCTTAAGCTCAAGAGTTGGAGGTTGCGGCTCAGCGCCTATAGCTCAACTGGCTAAGGCGCCAGCCATGTACACCTAAGGTGGCGGGTTCGAATCCCCAGCCCGGACCCGCCAAACAACAAATGACAGCTGCAACCAAAAAATAGCCGGGCATTGTGGTGGGCGCTTGTGGTCCCAGCTACTTGGGAGGCAGAGGCAGGAGACTCGCTTGAGCCCAGGAGTTGGAGGTTGCTGTGAGCTGTAATGCCACGGCACT